TTTTGAATCTGTCAATTCAGGAGAAGGTTTAAACATATATATGATCTCAAAACCTACATTATATAAATTAATCTGTTATAGATTTCTGTCTGTCTCTTTGTCTCTCTGTTTGCTAGATGGCAACACATCACATATCAAACAATTACCTATAAGAAAGTTGTACTATTGAACTGTAGTATTACGTTTGGAGAACTAATATTAAAAAGTAATTAGTGAGAAATTAGCAAAACATGCAAGAAGTTGGAAAAAGTGACATTGTAAGGAACCAAGTCCGAACGTTATTTTTATTTACTTTTATTTTGCTTATTATTCTAATTTTTTTGGGGGCTTATGTTTTGTTAGGACGAAGGTTTCCTCACCATTCACTTTAGTAACTTAAAAATAGAAGAAAAAAAACCAACTCACCGACGAAAGAAAAGCGCCGTAGAAAAACTCGCGCACATTTGCGCTTCCCGAGCGGAAAAAAGTAAGTCCGCACCGAGAAAAGAGGGGGAGACCCCACAAGCACGAATTAGGGACTCGCTAAACCTTAAAGAATAAAAAAACGTCCCGAAAATTGTGAAAAAGAATAATGTAAANTTGAATATACATTTCTTATCTATGTCATAACAGTGTCTTAATATTTTTATTTGATCAAATGTAGAACATTTTGATTTTTTCAAAAAAAAAAAAATTGATTATTGATAAACTTTTAACAAATTTATATGCAAAATCTCACCGTCATAATCTTGCAACAATTCAATTGCTCTTAACAATTTATGAGAATGATCAGGATTATGAATTCCTAAACTATCCAAATCTTCTTTTTCAATTTCTTTTAATGTATCTAGATCTTCATATCCATTCAATACAAAAACATTCATATAATCCTGTAAATGTAATATTCAAATAAGTTAAATTTATTGATTTATGATATTAATTCATTATATGTGTTTCTAACATTAATGTTATAAATTAATTTTTTTTTGTAATTAATTAAAATATAGAAATAAAATAAATAAATTTAATGAATCTCTTCATACCTAAAATTTTTAGGTGAAACAATTGATTATCTGATTTTTTAAAATTAATTTATGCTAAAAAGTTTGTTTATAAATAATTTATAATATACACAGAAAATTCATTTCATCTGAATTTATATAAATAAAACTGTAATGATCACAGTATTTTTGTCAGTTTGGATGTTCGTTGCTGCATCACAGGAAACTGTCTGAACATATTTTAACCAAACTTAATATTTTGAATCTGTCAATTCAGGAGAAGGTTTAAACATATATATGATCTCAAAACCTACATTATATAAATTAATCTGTTATAGATTTCTGTCTGTCTATTTGTCTCTCTGTTTGCTAGATGGCAACACATCACATATCAAACAATTACCTATAAGAAAGTTGTATTATTGAACTGTAGTATTACGTTTGGAGAACTAATACTAAAAAGTAATTAGTGAGAAATTAGCAAAACATGCAAGAAGTTGGAAAAAGTGACATCACTCTGCTAGATGCATATAAGCATGGATTTTTTGAAACATTTCATATTGTGTTCATGTTACTTAGGCCTAACTATATTGATATAAGTTTTATTTACATACAGTATATATAAAAGCAAAATATTTATGTTATATAAAGGTTCTCTACCATTCAACATACCCACACCAAATTTGACATGAATATTCTTCAATACCCTAGAAAAGATNAAGTTTAATTAAATATTTGATTTTTGTTATTGACAAACTTTGTCATTATTTAATTCGGTGCATGCTTAAAGTCCAGGCCTGGCATACTAACGCGAATCCGCGTAAGGTACCCGTTAGGGAACGGCTATTTCTGGCACGCAGTAGTGTCGATAATCGTTGGAAAAGTCGGAAAAATAATATAGTACTTTACAACATCACTCTGCTAGATGCATATAAGCATGGATTTTTTGAAATTTATTTCATATTGTGTTCATATTGTGTTCATAATAAAAGCAAAATATTTATGTTATATAACGGTTCTCTACCATTCAACATACCCACACCAAATTTGACATGAATATTCTTCAATACCCTAGAAAAGATACTGTGGGGGTCCTCACTCTTAACCATCCCTAAATCCTTCCTCCTCTTAACTTAAGCTCAAGCAATTTTTTTGTGTTTTGCAGTTTCATTATTGCAAATACTCAGGTCTATAAATGTACATTTTAGTTACTAAGACCATTGTTTTTATCACCTCACAACCCAACCTCACCAATCCTTCACTCTCTTAAAAACCTGAGTGCATGAACCTGATGTTCAGTACAGCTAATTATTACATATTCTTTAAAAAATAATTATTATTATTATTGTGTAGAATAGTAAAAATTTTTAAAATAAATCATTAAAGAAACAAAAAGTTTTTCAATTAATGTAAAAAATAAATGTGTACATTTATTAGAAATTGTTAAATTCAGTATTAACATACTTGCAAACCCAGCTGCTTCAGTAAGTCATGAAGAGAATCGGGTTTACTGGTTATTAATGGCTTTTCAGAAGAATGCCGACGCCGTCTACGTGTCCTGCCCTCACAGGGAAGTTCTTCAACATTGATGAATTTAAAATGTCCAACTTTTCCATGAGCCATTCCTACCCAGATCCCAGTTTTATTTTTTGCAATAATATCAATTACATCACCTTTCTAGAATAAAAAAAATTTAATAGAATAAGCATTTATTTCAAAATTCATATATTGTTTTAAATTTTGTTTATGTTGTATTTTTTCTTTTAGAATTTACTATATATCATATTATATTAAATATTTCTATATTGTTCATACAAATTAAACATTACATATTATAAACAAGCTTTATCTTCATTGTTATATAACATTTGTAGATACACTCTTTGACAAAAAAATTGACATANTTTATGTTGTATATTTTATTCTAAAAGTTACAATATATCATATTATATTAAATATTTCTATATTGTTCATACAAATTAAACATTACATATTATAAACAAGCTTTATCTTCATTGTTATATAACATTTGTAGATACACTCTTTGACAAAAAAATTGACATATCCCAAAAATAATCCAATTATAGTGAAATGTCACAGTCAAATACCTTTCAATCAAACATGCAAATGATAAATTAACATCAAACGAATGAATAGTATATGATACAATGCATTAGAAGTGCACATTGTGATGGTATATGTAAAAAGTGATTCTTTCTTTGAGAAACCAAACTTTCAGTGGAATTTGATTGTGCTTATCATTGTTGATTGTAAACAATGCTTCACCATTGAATTCATATCTACAACAACCATATGATGGCATTTAAAAGGGGGCTGTCACTGGACTAAAGAGCGTAGATGGACAAATTAACATAGCATTTAGCATTTGGGTTAGTGTGATGTGGAAATTAGAGACAATGCTGGTATGAATTAATCTTGAATGTCAAAGTCCAGTAAAAAGCAGGCAGTGGATGGCCTAAAGTGATGATAGTGATTGTTCAAGCAGCTGTAACAGTACCAGAGTCATCACTATTGACAATTCAACATCAACCAACGTCAAAGTGACCATTATGACCATTGCTAGATGACTATGAGAGGAATCTATGCTCACAACACCTATTACACAGCAATATTGATCCATAGGTATCATCAGGAGTAATTGCAGTAGTGCCAGGCTCAATCAATATGGAACTGTTCTGATTGGGGACAAATTATCTTCACTGTTTTGAACTGAATTCTGATGACTGGTGTATGTGTAGATGTATGTGGATACATTCTGGCCATCACCAGAATCCTGCTTTTACTGTCAAATGCCACATGGCCCAATAAGAGGGACTTATGATCTGGGGCACAATTTTATTCAATAGCCAGACTCCCTCGAGCAAGCTGATTTCCTAGCTAAAATCACAGCAAACAACAAAGACTGAAAATTTGTTATGCAAAGAAGCCTTTTTCATCAGCAAAATCTGTCCTCTGGACTGATCTAATCCACAACTGGCAGGAATTTTGGGACAGCAACACCATAACAATGAAACATATAAATCTATCCTGGAGATCAAAACACATCTAAAGAATTCTTACTTCAATCCTTCGCATGTCCTTACACACTTCTTAACAGACCATGACTACTTTTTTTTCTTCTGCGTACATTGCTTCAATCTTCATCATAACAACAAATGACTGATCTGCAAGGTGCCAGACAATGGAGAACATTATATCTTCCTCTGCCCAATGCTGGAGACTAAGACCTCAGCTCAGGCTTCTACTGGAAAACAATGGAAATACCCAGCTGTATCAACATAAAGATCTAATTTAAGACTTACTTCCAACTCCAAACCAAAACAGTGCTTATTTCAATATCCAGTATTGAAATAAGCACAATATTTCAATATTCAATATTAAAATAAGCACTGTTTTGGTTTGGAGTTGGAAGTAAGTCATATATTTTACAGTGTGTCTGGATGTTTGTGTATAGATCTAATTTAAGATAGGAGCATTCTCAAGGCCTTATCAACACACAGAACAAAATCACTACTAGTCTATTGATACAAGCAATGGGCCTCTTAATTAATTATCACAGAATGGTTGTATTGTACATACTGTCAATTTACTCTGTTAATTAATATAGCTGTTTATGTAGTATCTGGTAGTGTGGCTGCTTGATGTTGCCATACTCGCTCTCATCAGGAACTCTGTAACTGGTTCCTCTATAGCTAAGTAAGCTCACTGTGGGGCCTAGTTGTATGTAACAACTAATATCTATACAAACCAAGTTTGTGTAGATATTTGTTTACACACATAATCACTGTATAACTTCTCAGCATATCAGCACATGTAACAATTGTAACTCTGAAAAGTTTGTTTTGTATTACTATTTGTAATACTAGTTGTGCTATTGTGGTACTGGGTATGTACTGTACATTTGTACCTGCCTGAATAAAGAATTAGTAAATAAGCAAGCCAGACCCCCTTGGCACCCTCACAGCATAGCAGTAGTTGATGACATTCTGAGACCTGTTGTGATACCATGTCTTTTGCAGCACTCCAAGGCTTACTTTTCAACAAGACAATGCCCAGCCATACATGGAACACCTTTCATGTGTTCATGGTTGCAACATCCATTCTTGGTCAGCCAGATTGTAAGATCTCTCTCCAATTGAGTGCATTTGGCACCTAAGACCATCTGGAAATGTTGACAACTTAGCTCACTGACTAAACACTCCCTCAGGACACTATCCATCAACTTTATAAATCAATTCCATGTTAGATAACAGCTTGTATTCAGACAAGAGGTGGGTCAACATCTTATTGACTTCCTCATTTTGTATAGCTCTTTCTCTAGAATAAATCATCCAACTGTTCCAAAATTATAATAATTTCTTTTCTTATGCATATACAGTAAACATACCAAATTTTGTCCCAATTGGATGCTTCCCTCTTAGTGCATCAATTTTTTGCCAAAGAGTGTATAACTACAGAGCAAATCAAGTCTGAATTATATAGTAACAATTAAATGATAATGCTGAATTCATTATAGGGATATAACAGCTTCAATTTCTCATACAGTTTCCACTTATTGTGCATGGCTCAACACATCTGCATGATAAGTAGTTGTTAGTTCGATCCTGCTTCAGATTTTTTTTCCAGAATATTCTAAATTAACTAATTTAATTCTAAGTATTAAATTTAATAACACAACACATGGAAACTTAATTGCTTATCTTTAGACCAAAGTACAGTACATAACATCTAGCAAATCCCCATTTATACATTTTTCAAGAAAACAGAAAAATATCATATAAGTGAGAAAAATGTACAAATGAAACTGCTTTGAAATGCTTTCAGACTGAACATAATCATCAGGAAAGTATGGTGCAGCACAAATTAATAATGTACAAGTGAATGCATACATATAATTCTTAACAAAGAAGTTTTAATTTACTATATTTATAATATATTTAAACAACATATAAAAGGAAAAGTAAAAGTTGGAGTGTGAAATTAAGTCATGTAGTTTTAAAAAATTGATCAAATTTTGTTTGATGTTTTTTTGTTATTCCATCTGCTGAAACTCTGGTCATGTGAAAGAATTAAGAATCATTCTTTAGGTTAGCTCATACTTACAGCAAATAGTGAAAATTAATGAGAAACCAGAAGGTGATTTTTGTCTGCTTAGTGAAAATTTTTAATGTGTTGGACTAGCAGAGTGATTCACTAAACATGAAAATTCTTTGGAAACAGTATTTGCTAGAAGTTTGCTGTCATTGTGGACTAACCTGTNCAGACTGATGCCTTTGTTGCCTTTGTTGCCTCAGTCAGTTGGCCAATTATAGTTTCAAAATGAATCTATAACTGAATAAAACTAATTGTATATTATTAAATTAATATTTAAATTAAGATAAGTTTTCTTGAAACAAAATTTGATATCACAAGATTATGAAATTTAAAATTATGTTAAAAATTTATCTTACCTTAAATGCTAAAGCATCTTTATCATAAGGACTAGGAGTATAATCAACTAATGCACGTGCCTTTCCTATAAGAGGACCCACAAAAGGTGCGTTATCATCTTCTCCGGCAGAGGTTGAACTTCTATTGCTACTTGTTGGTGTAGGAGCTTGAAGACCTAAAACAGTTATTAAACAATCAAAAATTATAGGAATTATAATTAAATAAGTAAAAAAAAATGATAAAAATGAAGGATTATTTAAAACAATAATTGAACTTTTTTCCTATATTGGATTTATAATAAAATAGAATTGTTTTAAATTGGTAATTTCCTACTTGTAATCAATGTAACTGGTAGAAATCTTATATTGTAACAAATGAATGTCATTAGTCTGATAATTGATTATAAGATTATCAAAATAAATTAATCTTTTTTATTAAGTCCATATTTTGAAAATAGTGTAATTATTCTTTTTATGCTATGACATATTATAGCTCCTTGAGCTGTCATTGTGGACTAACCTGAAGCCAATATACTTTTCACACTTTTCAGTTTTTTTAATAATCATTTAAAATTTTTTCCATTTTAAAGTGAATGTTTTTGTTGTTTATTTTTACAATGCAGAGCTGAGAAAAAAGTGATGTAGAATACTAAAAAATATGATAAATAAATGTGAAATCACATAAATGGAAACATATATAACTGAAGTGTTTTATAAAAGAGAAAGTACCACACAGAAAATATTTAACTTATAATTGTGAAAATGTGCAATTGAGAAGTGTATAAATGGAGTTTAACAGTAATATAAACAATGTAAAGGGGAGGAAAATCTTTAAAAAATTAAATCAGTAAAAAGGTTCATTTTTTAAAGAATTACTCTGGGAACTTCCTGGATATACTGTGTACTTTATTCTGCATAAAAATATGCATATTTATGTTTGATATAAATTATTATTTTCATTTATTTAAATTTCACATGAGAAATTAATGATGATGACAGCTTAACACCAAATTAACATTATTATAAAAAATTTTAATTCTTTTGACAATAATAATATACTGCATTTAATATAATCAATGTAATGTATTGTTATAATTTACAAAATTTTGTAATTTTATAATTTAAATATATAAATTATTTTATTCAATTAATAAAAACTGTTTTTAAATTTTCTCCTGAAAGAAGGCTTTTTTTAACATCTCTTTTCTGATTGATGATCAAACTTATAATAGAGCAATTAAGTGATGAGCAATGGGATGAGATATCCAAATTAAACTATTCTTGAAAATTTTGTGATTGCGATCCAGACTTGAACTCAGATCCCCCTACAAAGTACCAGACTGATGCCTTTGTTGCCTCAGTCAGTTGGCTAGTTATAGTTTCAAAATGAATCTATAACTGAATAAAACTAATTATATATTATTAATATTTAAATTAGGATAAGTTTTCTTGAAACAAAATTTGATATCACAAGATTATGAAATTTAAAATTATGTTAAAAATTTATCTTACCTTAAATGCTAAAGCATCTTTATCATATGGACTAGGAGTATAATCAACTAATGCACGTGCCTTTCCTATAAGAGGACCCACAAAAGGTGCATTATCATCTTCTCCGGCAGAGGTTGAACTTCTATTGCTACTTGTTGGTGTAGGAGCTTGAAGACCTAAAACAGTTATTAAACAATCAAAAATTATAGGAATTATAATTAAATAAGTAAAAAAAAATGATAAAAATGAAGGATTATTTAAAACAATAATTGAACTTTTTTCCTATATTGGATTTATAATAAAATAGAATTGTTTTAAATTGGTAATTTCCTACTTGTAATCAATGTAACTGGTAGAAATCTTATATTGTAACAAATGAATGTCATTAGTCTGATAATTGATTATAAGATTATCAAAATAAATTAATCTTTTTTATTAAGTCCATATTTTGAAAATAGTGTAATTATTCTTTTTATGCTATGACATATTATAGCTCCTTGATGATAAACAACAAAACAATAAACTTTTAGTATATTAAGAAGTGCTATTCGTTTACAATAACACTTTTGAATCCAACAAGTTTATCTTCACATGCTCTTACATTGTAAATTTCAGCAAAGTAATCATTAAAAAATCTTGGTTATTTCATACTGATATGTTAAATATTTATTATATTTTTGTTGTTTATTCTTACACATGCAATAGCAAAGTAGAAAATATTATTACGCCTCTACAAATTTCCAGTAAGTTTGAAAACTGGAATAAGAATACAGGTAGCTGTAAATATTCTGTTTTATAATGACAGAGTAGCCATATTAGGTTAAGAATGAATCTAGAATTCAGTCTTTCCCACTTTATAAAATAACTTTCTTCCAAATAAATAATTGTCTTATGTTTTATTTTACTAATAATCATAATCAAATGAAGTTCACGTTATAATAGTCCTGTATACATCAATTTAAAGAACAAGCTGATGCAATCGAATCTACGATGATTTGATTTAAAAGATAACCATTCTAGAAGTTTTCCGTTAAGAAAAAGAACTTTCATCTTGAATGAAGTTTTTTCTTGTTTTCGAACCTGAAGAAGGTCAGTGAAGCTGTCCGAAAACATTAGTTGGTAGCAAAATTAAGCTGAATGTTAATGGTTTTCTTGTAGCAGGAGTATACATCAATTTGTGAAATAACTTATTAAATCAAAATTTAACATTGAGTCTACTTTATTCAGATTTTTCTTTTATTGAAAAATTAAAATTAATTAAAAACACATTGGTTCGTAGCATTAAAATTCAATTTGAAAAACATTATGGAATTTTCATCTTATGCATGATAACATTTACATCATTAATTTTCATTAATTAATGTTTATAGTAAATACTTGCAATGAATACATTATGAAATATATATAAATTATAGCAAAAATCTAAATCAATTGCTATTAGGAATTTGTGATAAAAACTAATTTGGTAGATTTCATTAGTGCTTAATTACTATGTAATTTTTAAAAAAAAGTCTATTATGAATTGTGAAAATTGTAAACTATTTGCCTCTATTAATGGATAAGATCAATGGAATTAATATTTCTTCAAATGAAAATAACAGACAACTGCAAATTTAGATCAAAACTAAATATAAACAATATATATATATATATTAATTTGTAATTTTCACGTGATTTGTAACAAATGTAAGACAAAACCTAATTAAATAAGCTAAAAGTTTTTTAAAACTAATCAGTAATGTAACTGACCAAAAATATGAATTAAAACTTTTACGCGATTTAAAAGTAATCCCTGATAGATATGTCTTTTAATCTAATCCCTGATAATTACTTTTTAGGGCTTCAACTTTTTGAAAAGAACAGGGAGTTGAGAAATTTTCTCTTTAAAAATACTCCAAAGTGAATTCTCGGATCCATAGCCACCATCCACTATATTATCATCCAGATATCTCTAACAGAGAAACCAGACATAAACTCAGTTATAGAGATTTTGTGGCCACTGTACTATGTAATCATAAATGCTAATTTTTAATATAGGGACATTACTATTTCTGTGTAAATACTATTATTATATACTGTTAGGACTCTTTGAACAACTCATTTTTGCTAAATTTTGGAAATATATTAATCATTTTTTATAGAAATAAAAACTTTATTAAAAAGATTAGAAAATGTGTGAAGTAATGTTGAATTTTGGAAATAATTTTGTCAATTATTTTCTAAAATTAAAAATATATATGTATGATAAATATAATGTATTTTGAAAGAACATAAATTTAAACTATTCATACATGAATAAATTAAAATTATCATCAGAAATATTTTTACTTGAATGAGATCCTGAACCACTTGGTATACTTTCAACTGAACTTCCAGGCCTAATTACTGCTTCATGAGATTCTGTATTTTCTTGAGTCTAAAAGAGAAAATTAATCAAAATTTTAAAGGTTCCAAACATTGAAAGAAAATTGTTAATAAATTGTTTAATGAACAGATTTATAAACATAATTATAAAGCATCTAGAGTTTCATATAATATGAAATATAATAATATATTAAAAATTTTGAGCTGATTTAGTAATTTCAATCCAGACTTGAACTCAGATCCCCTACAAAGTACCAGACTGATGCCTTTGTTGCCTTTGTTGCCTCAGTCAGTTNCAATCAAATTCATTAAAGCAGTATCTATATTTTATACGTTTGGTAAGGAGCAGCTATTTATTTTTTCACTATCAATGTTACAGTATTACAATTCATTCTAAATGCACATGTATCTACAATATAAAATAATTTTATTCCTGTCATATACATATTAAGAATTAATTTCCAAAAAACAAACTTATAAGTTGCCAAATACTTGTCTTTAAAATATAACAATTAAACAATCACTTGCTTAATTCACAAAAAACTATTGAGTTGCTTGTTATAAATAATTTAAACTGCACATTAGCAATCAATACAAATAAGGCAAAAATTCTAAAGACAAAAGAAGAAATTCTTAATATTTAATTCAGAGTGAAAATATTTGAAGAAAATTTTAATTTCTTTGAAGACTATTTGATACTTTAGTGAATTTTGCAATGTAAATGTTTCTAAAAAATAATAATAATAATTTCCAACTATTGATGATCAAGTTAAAACATAAATTAAGATAAACTGATACAACAATTTTTAAAACTTAAATTTTGTTATTAATAGGATTAAATATATACAACATATTATTATATAATGTAAAAGATCTGTAATAAACAGTTTATTTATAATACTGAATTTCTGAAGTAAACTGTATTTATCTATCAAATATTTTGCATGAAATATCAAAAATATGAATTTATTTTATACAAATACTTATTAAATATGCAAAACACTAAAACATTACCACTTCATTATCTGGTGTTGACCCCCTTGTACTCCTTAGTCTGGAAATTCTTCTTTTTACATCTCTATGTAAATCCCTAACCCGACCGGCCCATGATGAGGATGAACGATTCTGTACATCTCTTGATTGTAATTCTAATTTCTGCTTAAAAATAAATTGTTAAACATTAAATAATTGGCATTATAATTACAAATGAATATAATTAAAACAGTAATTATAGTATATTGCATAAGTAAAATATATTATATTAAATATCTTTGTTGGTATTCATTTTGTCCTCATTTCCAGTCCAATATTAATTTATTTTTAATAATATTTTATCAAATAGCTTTCATGTTTTAAGGACCATCCATTAATTATGCATAAAATTTAAGGAAGTTTTAAAAAGTACATCATTCTATATGATGAGAAGAGAGGGGTCAAGACATTGTCTACATGGACTGTTTTTAGTGGTATTAGTGGCATACAAATTTCTTCTTATAAACCAACTTACTAGTCACATAAATAAAATATCAGTTAGAAAATATTTACAGAAATGTTTAAAATTATTTCTTCAATGTTAGGATAGTCCATAAACTATTGTACACATAATAAAGGGAGAAGAGTTTGCCAAAAGTACATCATTGTACACGACTGGGAGGGATGGAATTAAAAATAGCTCAAAAACTGTATGCATAATTAATGGACAGATCCTATATAAGTTTATATCACGTGTAATAATTAATTCAATTACTTATACAGTAGTCACCACTAAACTTAGACCAGGCTGCAGTTAACATGCCATCCAATACATAGGGTTAAAAAAAAGTAGCTTTAAATCATTGCATGAATGTTTTACATAATTTAAAACAAATATACAGTAATTAATCTTTATTTTTGCTACATGACAACTTGATATCTTGCAAGTTTAACAAAGATGAGTCACAAGCATCAGAAAACTGACCATTGCGTCATCCCCATCAATGAACATAGACCAGCCAATAATTTGCATTTAAATAATGTTACAATTGCAGATTTCTGTAACAACTGATTATTTTAGCCTGCAGTGATCCTGTGAATGATATAAGGTGCTTTTTTAGTTTTATTTATGAACCTTTGCATTTTTGTTACAATGACAAGAAGAAAAGCTGTTTCAGAAGATTTAAGGAGTGCTATCATTGGTAAACACAGTCGTGCATGTCAGAGAGCTATTAGTAAAAAGCTAATGCTAAGCAAGCAGTGCATCAGATTATTGTTCAATACACTAACCATGGCCATGTTATACTTAACAAATCTGCTGGACATCAGTGAAAAACTTCAAAAGTTGATGATAGGAGTTTGAAAAGAATCGTAAAAAACAACCGCTGTACCACAGCATTAAATGTAACTACAATATGGAATGATACAACTGAAAGAATGTATCTGTTTCGACAACACACAGGAGACTGCAAGAAATGCATTTCTAGTTCTATGCAGCATATGAAAAACCTTTGCTAACAGCACATGAAAAGAAGAAACAAGTACAGTGGGTCAAAGTACATTTTTCCTGGTCTCAACAAAAGTGGCATGAAATTCTGTGGTCTGATGAATCAAAATTTGAATTATCAGCAACAGACAAAAGCAAATGTGTCACTTGATCTGCCGATGAAGCTAATGATCCATTGTTGTTAAATCGCTCAGTGAAGTTCTCTGCCAGCATCATGGTTTGGGGGTTTATGAGTGTCAGTGGTATGAGTCAGTTGACATTTGTTGATGGAACACTTACTTCAGGGCAATACATTAATATTCTACAACAGTGTTTACTTCTTTCTATAACAAAGCTATATCCAAATAAAACCTGCATTTTCCAGCAGGATGGGGCCACATGTCATAGAAGCAGAAAAATAAAATAGTGACTTGCAGAAAAGAACACAGAAGTTATTCCTTGGCCATCCAACAGTCTTTCATTAATTGAGAATGTATGGAACATTATGAAGAGACGTCTGTGAAAAACACGCCCTCAGACAGTTGAAGGACTAAAAGCTTCCATCCTAACTATATGGAATTCCATAATGGCAGATGAATGTGAACACCTAGTCAACAGCATGCTGAAATATATAAAAGGTGTTTTGGCCACAAAAGGTGATGCAACAAAATATTAAACATGTAGCGGTCTATGTTCATTGATGAGGTAACACAACGGTCTATGTATTCTGATGCTTATGACTCAACTTTGACTGGCTCAATTTTGTTAATCTTGCAAGATATCAAGTTGATATTTAGCAAAAATAAAGATTAATTACTGTATATTTGTTTTAAATTATGTAAAACATTCATGCAATGATTCAAAGCTACTTTTTTATAAACCTATCTATTTGTAATAATAATCTAACATCACATTTGTCTTTTTTTAGTATCTTACAAAATATAAAAAAGACAAATGTGATGTTTATTGAACAAAATAATTTATTATTATTCAATGAAGTATCTGTATGCCATAAATATTTCAAAAAATATATTAATAGTTTTTATTACAAAATACGGAATAAAAATTTATCTATAATTTAATTATAAATAATTTTCCTAGATGTAAAATCATTTACTTACAATGACATCAAACTTATTTTAAAGTTATTATGAATAAAACTTTTAATCTTATACTAAGTTTGTCCAAAAAATTATCTTATTCATCCAGAACATTAAGAAAATAATTAATTTTTATTAAAGTAATATTTAATAAACATAATGAATTTTTCTAACACATAATGAAATTTATCAGTAATACATGAAATTAAAAAAACTATCAAATACACTAACTATATTACTCAGCTATCAAAGAAACCATGAACATTCTTAAAGAAGAAAATCATTTATATATACTGTAGTTATATTGGAAAGAAAAATTTTTGACTAAATGTTAATAATCAAATTCAGAATAGTGGTAAATGTATGCCTTATTTTTCTTTCAGAATACATAACTAAATTTATCAAGTACTGTGCAAAAAACAACTGTTTTGAGATCAGGAGCAGATCTACAGTGGGACTACAGGGGCTTAAAGCCCTCCCCATTAACGCAAAAAATACTAATGACATTTATTTGTGTAAACTTCAAACTGTCATTTTTAAAAACAATTATGATGGCAAATATGGTTTACCAGACCATCCACAAAGCAATCATCTTGCACATGTTAACAAAAGGAACTTACAATTATCAAATACATATTTAAACTTTTTGAGTTAAACCCCCCTTTGAGTTCTTTTGGATCCATTACTGTTTGATACGTAAAATTATATTTTATTAATTTATCATAATTATAATAACTGTTAATATAAAGCTATATATTATAGCAAATTTGAAATAAGTATATTACTCAAATAAAATTTTAAATTTTCAATGGATTAAATCAAAATTACATTTTATATTGAAAGAAATATACATACATTTTCATTATCTTCCTGTTCTTCATAATCTGATGATTGTGAATGTGTTTCTTCACTAGTACTATAACTTGTTCTATTCTACAAATGAATAAAATTTAAATTTAAAAACTATTTTAAAATACTGTTTATATGAAAATATATAAGAATTTCAGTACAGACTTCTAAATAAAAACTGTAATTTTATAATATTCAAAATTTGAAACTTTGTCAGTGACATTGTTTGATACAGTATAATAAAATTTTGCTCTGTATATTTATAAACATTAAATTAATATTATTTAGTATAGTAGAAACATAAGTAAATAAATGCTTTAAACAAATTTTGGCATTTTTCTGTAATTTTTAATGGTTGTGTAAGCAAGCATCTTAAGTAATCATCTGGGATTACTGGGATAAAACACAATTTACAAAACATTTTGTTTTATGCAGTACCTGCTGATATGTAAACTCTGCATAAAACAAGGCCATACTGTTTGTTCATTTTCATTAATGAATACAGTTTTGTAATCAGTAAATTAAGTTTTGATATTTTTATTAAGTTGTTTATCAAATGTCTTTTCTTCAGTTATAACATTTTTAGGATACAGAATATAACAAAAAATAACAATCAAATGTAGTGTGTTCCAAAATTTGCAATATATATAAAAATTTCCAGGTTTCTATGGAGTAGACTCCAGGGCTATGGAATCAGTCAGGAAGCTGTGGAGTCAGGCCAGAGGAGTCGAAGTCAGAAAAAAAATGTGTCGACTCCGACATTTTTAAATTTACTTTAGTTTTTTTTTATTTAAATGAAAGAAAATTTATTATATATTTATTAATTTTTAAAATCTTTTTGTATTTTGTTATAATTAATTTATTTTAAATATAAAATGCATCTATTTAATTTATTATGTATGTAGTATTCTTTGTAGTATTAGTATTTAGTTAAATTATTTTGGCCCAATTGAATTTGAATATTTTTGAATCATTTCTTTATTATCCCTGCTCTGAATAAGTACTCTTTTTCTGAATGAGCCAGACTATCAGAGTACATATTTTTCTTTTCGGAACAAGGGGCTGAAGTAGCTAGCTAGATCCACTTTTTAGTTGGACTAACTCTTCTGGAAGGGTGAAATTGAAGTGCAAATGCTATCAAATATATGTAGATGTAGAATTTTATCATTCCCTTTTACCTCGTATTAAATATTTGTTAAAAATTAATTTTTTTATATGAATAAATATTAATGTAAATTAAATATTAAAAATACTAACTATAAAAGTATTTGGGTAAATGCCCTAGGCTCCTTTCAGAGTTTAGAGTAGGGTACCCCCTATGAGCACCTCTGCCCCCATAAAATGACTTGGTATTTAATTTTGCTGGAGTCAAGTTTTTGTTTACCGACTCTGCAGCCCTGGTAGCCTCTGAGGTCTCAGACCTTAACTCTTTTGATTTTTACCTGTGATTTTCCTAGCACTCAGAGGCTTTCATGTACCAGGAAAATATTCAAAACATGCATTTGAAGTCTATTTAAGTGTATGATATCTGAGATGTGAATACAAGTTCTGCTTGAGTAGGAGAGATGCACCAGTGTGTGTTTAAAAAGCAATTGCCAATATGTAGAGCTAATTATATTAATAAAGTTACATTTTTCTAAAAAGTGTTAAATCATGACGTTTTGGATATCCTGTGTACTTAAAAAACTCTACTTAATACACTTTAAGAATAAATTTTGTTACTTAAGGCTCATATATTGTATGTACTGAATAAATAAATACGATAAAAAAACACCTTTAACAATCCAGCAAATAAAATTTACTAAAATAAAAAAGGACAATTCAATTTACTAAAACAACAGGACATTCATGTCCAATGGGAGCAAGCATCAATTATCAAACCAACAACAAATATACACATGATGAAATATCTTGAAAGATTAGAGATTTTTAAAGTGCACAGGAGAAATTGGCTGCATCAACCATAGGGATGCAGACACATTGGCTACCACATGGCAATCTTTTTATGAAGATTAATTTTATTAAAAAACATTTTTATTTTTGTTATTTATTTTATTGTCTGCAACTACATTTTCATTTATTTATTTATTTATTTTGGAATTCTCATTTTCATTTATATTTAAATTTACGTTCTATTTTATGGTAACCGAGGAAGATCGGTTAAAAAACGATCGAAAATGTTTTTATTTTTTATTTTAGTAAATTTTATTTGCTGGATTGTTAAAGGTGTATTTTTTATTGTTACTTAAGGCAATAATGCAGTTTTTGTACTGCTATATGCATCTTTTTAGTCATTAATTAGTTCACTTTATTTTTATGTCTTGTCTATATATTTATTTGTTTATTTTTTTATCAATACCTGGTACATTTTAGCCTAATAAATGGATATGCCAGAAAGCAATAACTAATTAACTAGCTATATAGTAGAAATCTTTTATATTAATAGATGAAGCATTCCAGAAGGAAAAATGAACAACACTGATTTAGAAATAATGAATCTTGTAGATCTGCTCATTATATGATATTAAGCATTATGATACCAGAATATATTTTTCTTTTCAAGTACAGTTGAACCTGTCATATCAAACATGTTTATCTCAAAAATCTCTTTATCTCAAAATTTATTTTTTCCTCTGCATTGTCAGCCTAAATTTAATATATTTTCCATGCTTATCTCAAATAATTTTTCCCAAAACCTCTATCAAATTATGGACTGAAGTGTCAATTACGAATTCAAAGCTCAACAATTATATTATGTTAGCATAAATTGTAGTTGAGAAACATCTCTTGCAATATAGTACATGATTGCAACTAACAATGGTTTTCTCTGGCTGAGTTTGGCTTGAGTCTTATTGGTCAAAAAATCAAGGATCAGAAATTATTGACAAGTATTTCTGTTAAGGTATGTCAAAAATGTTTTATTTATACCCACCTAATACAGGTGTGTACTGTACTTGCTATTGTATTAATAAAATACCATATCTCCAATCAAACATATTACTGTTTACAGTGTATAAACCTCTATATCTCAAAACCTATCTCAAATTTTTTTCTCATTCCTATGAGATTTAAGATAGACAGGTTTAACTGTATTTAAAAATTTTCAATACTGTCTGTTATGATAAAATAAAAGTTGTTTCATAATTTATTATTCAAAAAAATTTTAAGGTTACATACAATATAATGAAACTTTGAAATATTTATATATAGATTAAAAGCTTTGTTATAAACAAAATTAAAATATTTAATAATTAACTTATTAATAAAATATTAAATATGAAAAATTAATCAATTATAACAACAGATTGGGTGACTGTAAAAATATTTAGTATATTTTTGAATAAAGAACATTAATAAGATAATTTTTCAACATCAGAATTTTTAAGGAATTCAAACTAATAACAATTTAATATATAATTATTAAGCTGGTGGGATGGACGAAGCAATTACAGTGTTAGCTTATACTCTGAAGGACCTGAAATCAAAGCTGTGTGGTCAAAAATTCAAGGAATTTGTTGGGAGATGGTCTGTCCCAAATGTCAGGCTAAATCTCTCACCATTTGATGTCCCCACTGTGGGTCTGGTGAAACCCACAATATGCTTGAAAAAAGACAGGGCAGAAAGAGTCAATAAACAAATAAATCCCTCAAATAAAAGACTGTCTTTATAAGTAAAAAATGTTTTGGACTGTCGCTGGTACAGGTATACCTCGCCTTACGTCGGTAATTTGTTCCAGGAGAGGTGATTTAAGTCGAATTTACTTGTCACTAGGCTAAACAACAAATAACCATTCCCAGTTCTGTATTTTATTTATAAATGCATTTTTAATAATATATGATTAATAAGAATCTATTTTAAGCTTACAAACAAATAAATTTTACTTTTTAATATAGTACAGAAAAAAAGTAATCTAAATTTACGAATACATGTATGTACATACTTGTAAATATACATGTTTACAATTTGGCAATGTTTACAATACATTGCAAACTCTTTATTTGTGAATGTGGTTTCTCTAAGACATTATAAAATAAGATGATTTTGTAAGGTTAAATAACAAATACAGTTATTAAAATTATTTTGCAATAGTAGAAAATAAACTAATTTTATGTTAAATTTACCAATATTGAGTGGCGCTGACAATGACGCCAAACAGTAGATATTGGAACTATCATGGAAAATGCCAATATTGAACTCTTAAAGACCACTAAATAAGATGACAACACAGAGTCCTAGATGTTCTCGTTTTTGTATTTCGTTCTCTAGGATTTATGATGATTATATTAACATTTACTGTAAATGTATGTATTTTAATATGATTTTATGTGCTTTTAACACTTTTCTAGTGATATTACGACTTCAATATTTGTGGCAGACAGACGTAAAGTTGAATAAAATTACTTAAACTTGATTTTTATTTTTCCATATATTTTTTTTTGACAAACAACATATAATCAAGAATGACTTAACTCGAAACAACGTAACCCAAGGTATACCTGTATACAGGGGCGCCGCTAGCTGTTTGAACGCCTGTGTGCAATACCGATTATGCCGCCCCCTGTTTAACTACGATTACCTATGCTGAGCTTGCCAGAAAGGCTCTTTGCCGTCCCCTGGACGTGCCGCCCGCATGCGGTGCACGCCTTGCACGCCCGCTTACGGCAGCCCTGCCTGTATAGTGAACAAAGAAAAATGAAGACAATTTATAGTTTCAATATATTTATATATTTTAAACAAATAAATATTTATTAAAATATCTACTTTAATTAAAATTTGCTTTTGATTATGAAATTTATTCATATTTAGAATGTTTAAGCTTTCTTTTATTTTTTTATTTTTTTTTGAAAAACTTCTACATTTTCAAGTTTGTGAAGCATTAATCTACAATATATATTAAAATAACAACAATGTGCAATTACAGAATTTTTAATATATTTTGTGGATTGAAATTTTAAGTGAAAATAATTCAACTGTTCAAATTTTGAATCAAACTATTATTTTGTCATAACTAATTTATCCTTAAATAATAATTTCTAAATGTTTCCATATGTTTCTAATCCTCAACATGAAAAAATAAATAAATT